AGGTCCTGTCTCAAAAGTGAGAGAGAAAGAGAGGAGAGGGGAGTCAGAGGACGATTACGGATAAATATGCCTGGGACAGAACACAGGACCCCAAACAGGCTCTCGGAAAACGACCGCAAAGGTATAAAATGCCATGGAAGAAACGAGAGCAATTAGACATCCATGTACCCCGAACTGAACCTTTCTCTCCAGCTAAATGAGCTGGAACATGAAGTGTGACGCTGTCCATGAGCACACTGGCCCGTGCACACCGGTGTCGGTGTGGTATTGCTCCACAACACTGCAGAAGATCCCGGTATTTTCTCTCACAATTATCTTCATGCTAAAGTTTACAGAAAAAGCTTGCGAACGTTCGAGCCATGCCTGGAACGAGACAGGAAGGAGGTCCGCGAGGGGGAAGAAATAATGCGAGTAACACAGGTGGAAATGGACTTCATTCCCGCTTTCAACTTTTATCACAAATTATGTAGTTTGGGGTGTTACCTAAATTTATAATTAATTGTTTTTAAAGTAGGCCGGAGAGGGCTGGCAAGACCTCTTAGTGGGCAAAGGCATTTACCACACAAACCTGAGTGAGATTTGTGGAGCTCCCACACAGGAGAGAAGAGACGCTTAGGAGTGGCTTCGAGTGGCTTCTGGCACATGCACGTGCCATTGACATCAGACATGCTGCAGTGACGACGACAGCCCGGAGAACAGGAAGAAAGGACCCAGGAAAAATTACTCTAGTAAAGAGCAAAACTGTTTTCTATAGCAGAGGGTAACATGTCTAAAATCCCAGCACTAAGGAGCTGAAGCAGGAGGATTTCAAGTTTGGTCTAAAATTGGTCTACAGAGTGAAATCCTGTCTCAAACACAGCCAGCCAGGCAGGCAAACAGACACAAAGCTACTTCTTAGCTTGCATTTGAACTAAGCACATTAATATTGAAATTTTCTCATCTGCTTTAAAGTATTAATATTCACTTGTTTTTTAAAAAAAGTCATGCTTGTTTATTTATTTTTCAAAATGAGTTTGGAGGTTGTTTTTCTTTTTCTTTCTTTTTTTTAAAGATTTATTTATTATGTATACAACATTCCTTCCATATATGCCTGCAGGCCAGAAGAGGGCGCCAGATCTCATTATAGATGGCTGTGAGCCACCATGTGGTTGCTGGGAATTGAACTCAGGACCTCTGCAAGAGCAGTCGGTGCTCTTAACCTCTGAGCCATCTCTCCAGCCCGAGGTTGTTTTTCTTAAAGTTTATTTATTCCTCTTCATCCATGGTTCTGTGTGTGCCTGACGACCTGACGAGCACCACCTGTGTGCAGGCGTTCACTGAGGCCAGAGCGCACGGGATACCTTGGAATTGGAGCTGTAGGTCACTGCGAGGCATCTGCGTGAGTGCTGGGAACCAAAGCTCTGCGAGAGCGGTGAGCACTCACAACCGCTGAACCATTCCTCCAACCTAAGCACGGAATTTTAAAAATGATTTTATTCCTATGTAAAAGCCTGTGCCAATCATCACTTGTTGACAGCCCTTGACACCTGGCCCTGGGGGGAAGCTGAGCAGCAAAGCCCGCTGCAGATGGAGAGCGCTACCACATCTCCCTAGATTCTCAGTGGGTGCCCCAGAGGAGCCAGCAGGAGGGCACAATGCACTTAGGGACTTGGTTTTGAACTCCACTCTCTACTTACAGATGGCACAGGCCTGCATTTCGTCATCTGAAGAGGGCATCAGAATGCCTCCCAGGAGGGGTCATGGAGGATTCCTAGAATTTCAGGAAAGCCGTCAGCAGAGTTCAGGGACTGGGTGATGGAAGGACATAGCCACGAGGGCAGCACTTTGCAGATAACAGGCTCCTTCCACGGTCTCAAAGAGGAGGCAACCTTCATGTGGCCAATGGCACAAATGTTATGTACTGGTTATCCATGAGGGAAGTATTTCACACAAGAGCTCCTGAATCCTCAGCACACTCTGAATAATGTTACCAGGAACAAAGGGAAGTGTGGAGACCCTACATGATGTCCCCAAGAGCGTACAGCCAGGAAGAGGCAAGGGATAAGAGTGGGGTCTTCCAAAACCCTAGCCTTGGCTAAAGGAAGGAAGACAACCATGGTGCATTCTGGGTCTCTATGTAGTTCCCTGTAAGGGAGGTCTAAATCTCTAGTCCATCAAAACAGTCTTTGGGAGTGAAGGAAGTTATGTCTCCTGCCCAGGACTGCTCCATCCTAGCCACAAGAACACGGACAGTCAGACAACAGATGCTGACACCTCTGACGAGTGGGCATTCACCTGGTACCCCAGGGCTCTTCCCGCATTGGTTTCCCCAGGATGCTTACTTTAGGATACCTACTCTAGGATTCTCTCGGGCCCTCTGTGTTGTGGTGAGTGGTATGGGCAGTGATTCATGGGGGCAGATGTACAGGACACTCTGTTAGAGGGGGACAGGGGTCAAGCATGTGTTCTGTACCCGACGTTCTCAGGGCGACAAACAGTACGACATGGGCATTCAACTCTACAGCTGGTACCTGGAGATGTGTGCTCCACCTCAACTTCTGCTTGGGGCTCTGCATCTTACAAACTGTGACTTGGGTAAATGGCTCTCTCTTCGCTTACCTTTCCTCAGTAGGGATAACGCCACGGCTGTGGCGAGGGTGCAGCGTGGGAAGGAGTGCAATTCTTGACTCGGTGTGGGGTTTTAAGGAGAATGGACTCTCCTGCTCTGACCCCTGAGAGGCTCCAGCTGAGCAAAAATGTAGGAGAGCAGATGACCAAAGCAGGGTGATTCACCTCCTCTCCACCCGGAGTCCACAGGACGCCCTGGAATTCACTCACTCATTAACAACAGGCCCACAACTGCTGGCTTAACCAGTACAGCACAGGAACTAATGAGGCCTCGTCCCGGCCTCCAGTAAGAGCAAAGTCTGGCGAGGACAGTCACTGGTCCTCCAGAGCCCCCTAATGGGACTCAGAGGTTCTAGGCCGGGGCTACAGGCCCTGTCTTCGGGAATACCAATGGAGGATGACTGGGCGACTCGCATGCGCAAAAGCGTAGAAGACGTGAAACACCGTGGGAACTCGGAGGTGAGTGTTTGAAGACAAAGGATGAATGGCTGAGAGGCTAGAGATCTCATAGATCACAACGGTTCATAGTTTGATTTTTCAGTAAAATCTCATATCTCCGAGGGCTGCTTCAGCAGTCGCGCCCCAGGATATCCCAATTCTTTGAGCTGACAGTGAAGCCGCTGTGAGCTGCACCACCTAGTCAGAGGCGGTCGCTAGGCAACAAGCCCGCCTCCAATTTCGACCCGTCTCGCCCTCTCGTGGCGGCATCCCGCCGCTGCATCCGACGCCCGGGAAGATTGGTGGGTGGGCATATATTCTTGTAGCTTAGAGTTAAAACTGGTTGACAGTCCTGCCGTCAGACCCAGCTCTCTTTCCATCCTCCTCTGGTTAAGTCTGGCCCGTTCTACCCATTCCAGCACCTGTGCTGGCTGGGTAGGAAGGAGGGGAAAGCTAGTCAGGTGGGCCGCAGGTCCGAGTGAAGACGTCAGTTCTTATTCAGAGTGGTTGGGAGCCAGGCTAGCTTGTAAGGAAGGCAGCAACACGGACTGAAGAGGAACATACATTGTACTGCCCAGAAGGCGGCAGGGTGCGCGCATCCCCCAATTCACGAGAGCCATGACTGTGACAGGCCTCGTAGAATAATAAAGGACAGTTTCAGACTGACAACCTGGGGTCACACGGGAGGAAGGCAAGTAGTCTCCTGCCTCAAGCCAGTGAGGGGGCAGCATTGCAACAGGGTGCCCACCTCACTTGGTACTCCAAAACCAAAAGATGTTGAGCCATCTCTGGATCACGGAGTGACAGACCCTGTTAACTGAGAAACCCTCCCAAATTCCTGGGCGCCTGTGGGCTGGAATCCCTGCAGAAGAGGCTTTCTTAGAAAGCTAATCCCTTCCCCACAAACCCCACCACCTAAGCAAGGGTCTCGTCCTTGAGTTAGTCTGGATGTGGGTCCAGGTGCAGTTCAGGTGCTCTCTCTCCTACATTTGTGCTGGCCAGACATGAGAAACAATGTAATAAAAAAGCCAGGTCACTGACTGAAGTCCATGCTGCTGTACTGACTGGCAGGGGTTTTGTGAAGGCAGGGTAAATAGGGCCAAGGGGAGAAGCAGGTCGGTTCCAGAAACGCTGTGTTCTGGGAGAGTAGGGCCAGCGCAGGCTAGGGAGCCTGACAGATTGGTCCATGGGCCAGCCTGGTTCAGACTCATTGCAGCACTGGGTCAGGCTTAAATCGGTGCTGATCTGAGGCCTCAGATTGATTTTACGCTGTCTGCTTTGCCCCAGAGAACACTTGTAAAGCAGTAGCTGAATCACCCATAACAATGCCCGCTCTAGAACCCTCGACCAAGACAGACCCTGGCTCTCCGTTCTCACCATTGTACTTGTTGGAAGAACAGGGCATCATTTCTCACAGGCCCTGCTGCTCCTGACCTTGGTCCTGGAAAATGCTTGGACTCTTGTGGATTTTTGGATGCGGATAAAACAGTGTGTGGTCCGTGAATGTGGGTAGGTAGACCACAGCCTCATGGTGATGCATAGACTAATAGAAACGGGTTAATTTAATATGTAAGACCTAGCTGGAAATATGCCAGAGTCATCGGCCAAACAGTGTTGCAATTAATGTAGTTTCTGTGTGATCATTCGGGTCTGGGTGGCCGGGAAACCAAGACACGGCCTCCATCTGCAACCAAGTTTTATCTTCAATCTGCAACAGGGTTGCAGTGGGGAGCCCGAGGCTGGAAAGGTTTGAGGCTATGCTGGGGCACTTTGTGAGACTAGAGGAAGGTAGCCTGCCTCAGACCATCTCACTTGACTCCTAAGGTCAAGGGCAAGAAAGGCAGGCAAGGGAGATTTGCCTCAGCACCAGCGAACCCGGAGCCCAGGTGTTCCAAGCCCCCCAGCCAGGCTCGTGCCGACAGCCTTCTGTGAGAATTAAACAGAGAAACCTTCCACAAGGATTTGTAATGCTAACTTTATTCAGTGCTCAACTGTCCTCGGAGAACAAGCTACCATTTTATGCTCTGAGAACTGCTTTAGTGCCTATGAGTTCCCTACCATGAAAACATCCAACGCTAAAACCCAAAATTTTCAATGAGAAAGGACGCCTATCATTGCTTAAACTTCACAGGGAAGTGAAGTGACCCAGTTGTCAGGATGTTCACTAGCTGGATAAAGACAGGAGGCAGTGGCTGAGCAAAGGTTCGGGATGCTGCAGAACCTGCTGTCAACATCCCAGTCCCTGACACCAGCTGTGCGTGTCTGTGGTACCCAGCCCTGGGGATCAGGCAAAGCGAGCAGAAGGCTGAAATGGATGGTGCCTTCTTTCCTGCGTGAGGCCTGGGGAAATCAGAGGCCACCTGTAGAGGTGAATTTCATAAGTGGCATGGCCCAGGGTGGTTAAATTCATTCCTAAACTTGTGTTTCACCAGCCCCACTCTTCAAAGGTCCTGCTCCACCGGGACACTCTCTCCCCTTGCACACCACTTCAACATCCACACAGGAGCCAGAGAACCTTGGAAACCACATGCATCCTCCCACCTCGAAATCAGAATTAGCTGCCATTTTGTACCTATTAATATCCTTCCTCGCTATATAACATGAACACAAGGGAAAAAAATAATCGCTTCCATATATGCCCCTCCCCGCCCAAGCGGCCTTTGAGGCGGCCTGTAGTTTAGCTGGGCTGCTCCTAGGAAGAGTGCTCCTGGGAGGAGTGCTGGCTGGACTGGCTGGGCACCTCTGCGTCCTGGTCATCTGTAAAGGACAAGGAAAGCAGCGGGCTTAGAATGAGGCTGAGTCACCAGTTGCCAGATGCAGATTTTCTACAAGGCCTTCTCTTGTTCCCAGGCCCCTGCGGACGGTGGCTCTGCTATCCTTTGCTGTCCGTTGTATAGACTGACTTCTAGCCTTGGCCACACGAACAGCCTTGAGTCCTCCATCCAGCCTGGCTCTTCATTGCTGCTGAAGCCCAGCTATGAACCTCCACTTGCCCTTCTGTAACAAGACAATGGGTGAGCAGCAAGGGGCAGCGAGGTTCATGAATGCCTCGCTGCCTGCCTTCTGTTTACCCTCAGAAGCGTCTAGCGAGGCAGAGGCCACTACCTGTCCTCTTTGGCAGGTGCTGGACCTGAAGTGCCACAGAAGAGTTTGTCCAAGGTCCCATAAGCAGTACACACCAGAATAAAGTGGATGCTCAGGCCATACTATTCCAGCCACAAGGCAAGTGTGCCATGGGCCTCAGCTTCCTTTTTAGTAAAACTGCACAGCTCCAGGCTCACCCAGCTCATTGGACAGTTTTGATAATTATATTAAAGAGCTCTTTGAATCTGGCAACTTTTTTCCAAAGCACAGGAGGCTCAGAAGCCGGAAAGGAATGAAGCCTTAGAGAGTTTGAAGCTGAGCGGGAGAGGTGGCTCAGGGGTTAAGAGCATTTGCTGCTCTCCTGGAGGATCTGAGTTCAGTCCCCAGCATCTATGTGGGACCACTAACTGCCTGCAACTCCAGCTCCAGGGGACCTGACGCCCTCTGCTGGCCTCTACAGGCATCTGCACACATGCAGCAAACATTCATACACACAAATTCAAAAAAAAAAAAAACTAAAAAGAAAATAAAAAGAAGCATTAAAGACAAAAGCCTCCCCGCCCCAAACAAAAACAAAGCCAGAAACAAAATAAAGAAATGGCGTGTTGGTGAGAGGACTCAGGAGCAGGGGCTCGGAGCCATCCCCGGACCTTCACGTGTACCCGCAGTCACGCATTCACAAGAAATAAGCTTTTAAAGTTGAAGTTTTAAAAGGAAGAAAAATGTGCAGGGCTGGGGAGATGGCTCAGTCGCTGAAGTGCCTGCCTCCCAGCAAGAGAACTCAAGTCTGCTCCCAGGAAGCCCTGAGAAGCACAATGGCCAGGAAGGTGGGGACTGGGATCTCCCAGCTCCCTGCAGCCGCTCTAACCTCATTGGTGAGCTCCAGGCCAATGACAATGAGACACCCTGTCTCAAAGGAGATGGACCATGTTCCTGAAGGTAATGGCCAAGGTTCTTCTCTGCTCATGTATGTGATGCTCACCACCCCCCCCCATATAAAAACATTCAGGTTCATGTACAAAACAATAAAGTACTAATTTCTTTAAAAATTAAAAAGAAATTACAAAGTACTCATAAATCCCGAAGGCCTGCTGACCCTGTGAGGGGGGCTGGTGCTATGGGGGGGGTCACCTGAGGTTCTGTGCTCAGGTCTCCCAGGCAGCAATGGCAGACTCTCTAGCTCCTGTCATCCTACTGGGGGGTGACAGCAGTGGTGTCTCCAGAGTGGCTCCTGCTATGGCTGTCAGTCCCTCCTTGATCTAAAGTCTGGGAGCCTCTGATCTACTGAGCATACCAGGAGCACACCTCACCTCACTGTTAAGGGGAAAGAGTTAGTCCTATGTGATGTGGTTACCACTGTGTGTGCTGTGATTACCACTGATTAATAAAGAACTGCTTTGAGCCTATGGCAGGGCAGAACAGAACTAGGCGGGGAAAGCTAGGCTGTATGCTGGGAGAAAGAAGGGCGGAGTCAGAGAGAAGCCATGGAGCCGCCAGAGACAGACATGCCAAAACTTTGCCGGTAAGTCACAGCCACGTGGAAATACACAGATTAATGGAGATGGGTTAGTTTAGGATATAAGAGTTAGCCAGAAATACACTTAAGCTACTGACCAAACAGTATTGCAAATAATATCATTTCTGTGTGGTTATTTCGGGTCTGAGCAGCCGGGAACAAACAAGCCACCTCCATACAACACCTACACATGAGGTCAGACAGAAGCCACTGCTAATCTTTGGGTGCATGCTTACAGAGTACCCGAGGGCTATGGGAAAGAGCTCAGCTCAAGGTCCCTCTCCCCACCCCCACTTCAGGCGACCTCTTCTCCCCAACTTCTTCCCAGCTCATCTGGAGGCAGGAATATTGGTCTCTTACTGGTATTCTCCGTGTCTGTGTTGTACAGGATGGTCAGTGAGAAGGACGGTGGAGAAGGTGGCGGCGGTGGCGGCGGCAGGAAGTGGAGAGCAGAGAGGTAGTTACGTGGGAGGAACGGGGGCTGCTGTGGCTGCGATGGTGGAGGTGGGAGCGGTGGTGGCGGCGGCGGCGGCGAGCAGTAGGTTGGCTGGAGGTCTCCAGCTGGTTCTGATACCTGCATGGACACACAGGAAGGGCAGGGAGAGAGACAGTGAGCCAGGCCGGCTGGGCATCACATCTTTTATTTCTCTAATGCAGGCAAGCAGGAATGCAGCCACATCTTAGCTGAGCCTGGGGGCTTTCCCTAAGGGTTTTTGGAGAGCATAACTCCCCAGGATGCAGGACTTGCTCCCTAGGCTTGTCCAACTCCAGTGGCTGGGACCTCTTGGGAAGAGGGGGCATGGCAGCAGTGTGCAGGCAAGGGCAAAGGGATGTCACTGGGATGTGTCTCAAGCCTGTGGTGAGGGTGGCGGCACATGGGTGGAAATAATGTACTGGCTCTTAGGTTTGATCCAGACATGACAGGGGTGGGAAGGGAACTGTCAGCATTCTAATTCCAATCTCTCAGCCAAGCCTCCCCTTGGAACACAGCTTCTGCCTGGGGCCAGTGGGACAGCTCAGCCCCAAATACAGACTGGAATCGCACACTTAACAAAAGTGTCCAGTCAGAACCCTGCCCTAGATGCCAAGTTGAGGCTTCCGCGTGAGCAGATGGTGTGCTCTAGGCTCCCCTTGGTCACAGCCTTTCTTTGTCTGTGGGCTGGTGGCACCTGCTCTCCTGGGTTATAATAGGGGGCAAAGGGAGCACCCACATCTACCAGGCTGGCCAGTAAATGGTGCCACGAGAATCAAGAGCCAGATTTTCTCTACCTCTGGGGCACACTCGGGATAGCAGGAAATACCTGGGCTTGAAGCTGGGCATCTCTGAGACCGTATATACCAACCAGCTAAGGGTCCTGAATCCCCAGTCTCATTCACGAGATCTGTGGCATTGATGCTCAGCAGAACAAAGGCCTTTCTAGCAGCTGGACCATGTGAGCTAAAGTTCATGGTTACCCCTGGGATCCCAGTGCCTTTTGGCCTCCAGCTTTGAGAAGCAGACACCACAGCCGCGGCCTTGTGGTGCAGGCCTACCTGCATGAGCCCTCCTAGAGACACTCCCTTATGACAGCTGGCTCTCTGGGACTGAGAACCAGAGAAAGTGGCGAGGGCGCCTGGGATAAGGGTGAACCTGGAAAGGATTTGGGCTCCGATTTACCAAGCTGCCTCCATGGTAGGGGCTACAGGAGACATGACGGAAGCTTCTATGCTGCGGGATCCCCACAGCTGAGGATGCATCCTGGCCATCCAGTGGGAAGGGCTGGCAGGATGGCACGGGGACACAGGCAGGGCACTGGTTGAAAGGCTCTCTCTCAGGGTACCCGGTTCCCACCACATGATCAGAGCTGAATCTCAGAGGATGCCCTAAGAAGACAACGAGAGACGTGTTAACGCAAATCCGAGGAGCCAAGCAGCGCATTGCTGTCTCCAGGGTAATCGCAAGACTGACGTAACCGACTAAAGGCATCTCACGTTACCCGCCACTTTTGTACATATGCACATGACGTGTTTTGAGCATGCTCATCTCCACGCCCTCTCATTCCCTCTCATTCTCACAGATCCTTTTGCCATCTGTCCCCTTTCTACTTCAGTGTCTCTGTGTCTGCGTGTGAACCAGTAAGATTAACTAGGGTGACTTACAGGAACATGGGAGGCCACACCACTGAGTTAAAAAGTGTCTCCCTTGCTCGGCAACGAGCACTTGCCCAGAGATCCTCGGAAGAGCAGGGTGAGGGGTTCGCATGAACCTCCTCTTGTAAAGTAGACTGCCATACATTAGTGAGTACGAAGCCAGGTGATGCCCTCCGTGCCCACCCCTTCCCCAGGCTCGCGGTTCCAGCTCCTCTTCACGATATTCCCTGGCAGAGGGGTCCGGTCTACAACTGCACCCTCAGCCATCACCTGTGCTCGGCACCACGTTGAGTTTACAGCAACTGCCACCCAGCACTAACAGCGACACTCATCTTCCAGGGTGAGCTCTGGACACCTGTGCTGGGAGGAGCAGTGGAATCCTCCATTCCCTCCTTGGTTTGACATCGTGTGGGGGAGGGGCATCTGGCTTTGGTCTGGCTTTGGCAGTGGTCCTGGTGTCCCACAGTGCTACTGCACCGCGGGAGATGGTCCGAGTCATTGTGTGGTGGTTCTCAGCCATCACTGGACTCTGCTTCAATTTCTGCTCCTTTAGTGCCCGTGTGAATAGCACACCTCAGGAGTTCCCACTGCAGACACTGCCTCTCTCCTATTCATTTTTTTCAAGATATTTATTTATTTATTTAGTATATAGTGCTCTTCCTGCATGTATGCCTGCACACCAGAAGAGGGCACCAGATCTCATTACAGATGGTTGTGAGCCACCATGTGGTTGCTGGGAATTGAACTCAGGGGCTCTGGAAGAATGACCAGTGCTCTTAACCTCTGAGCCCTCTCCCGTTCCTTTGTAGGAGTTCCTTCTGTAGGAGGTGTAGGAGTTCCTTTTGTAGGAGGTGTAGGAGTTCCTTCTGTATTTGTTGAATACAGAAGACTGTCTTTTATTGGTTGAATAAAGAGACTGTCTTGGCCTTTTGATAGGGCAGCCCTTAGGTGAGCAGAGTAAACAGAACAGGATGCTGGGAAGAAGGGAAGTATGGCAGATGCCATGATTCTCCTGTCTGAGACAGACACTGGTTACAATAAATTAATATTGGAGAGTTAGCTAATAAGAGGCTAGAAATAATGGGCCAGGCAGTAATTTAATTAATACAATTTTCGTATGGTTATTTTGGGGGTTAAGCTAGCCAGGCGGCGGGACACAGCCTGCCGCTCCTCTTACTACATTTTTAACCCCACTGTCCTTGACTATTTGCCTTTTCACCCATCTACAGACCTTTGTTGGATCCCAGCTGACCCATCAGTTACTAGAGCTCTCTACACTGATCAGTAGGATCCTTCAGAGAGCATTATCCCTCCCCCAGGACAGGATTCCAGGAGGCAAGAAGGTGTCCTAGTCACTGTGACAAATACCCAGGGCAGTTTAAAGAAGGGGTGGCTGGTTTCGACTCACAGCACGGGGGTGTTGGCACCACCATCTGTGACTCCCGGTGAGGTAGGACATCCTGGTATAAGGCTGTACCAGGTGAAGCCATTGCTGCCCAGCTCATTTCACCCAGGAAGCATCAAGAAGGAGAACAACCCGCTAACACGCTTTCTCTTCATCACCTTTCACCCTGTCCGAGACCTAGGTTATGAGATTCTGGTACCTACATTCAGGATCCACCTCCTCTTTGGTAAAGCCTCTCTGGAAATGCCTCCCAGATTCACCCAGAGGTGTGCTTCCCTCATCCAGGTGCTCCTCACCCATCCCCGGGGCCAGCAAGAGGGCTCAGCAGGTAAAGTCTCCTGCCACCAAGCCTGACAACCTGAGTTCCATCCCAGGGACCCAGGAGGTAGAAGGAGAGAACCAGTTCATCAAAGCTGCTTCTGACTTCTCCACACGTGCTGGGATTAGCCACAAGGGCCTGCCTTCTCCCCACCTCTTCAGACCGCTTGTATTCAGCACACTTTAAATTTCTGTTTGTTGAGAGGCGGAACAAAGGTATGCTGCTGTAGGATTGCTGCTTTAGGCCTCTCCTTCCTCATCAAACAGTTAGTTCCCCGGGAGACAGATTTCTTACAAAGTCCCAGAAAGCAGAAATGATAACAGAACATTGGCGTCGATTTCTGAGAATCTGGCACTGAAGAAAGAACCGTGTCCACGGTTACACCCGAGCAACCCGCCAACTCGCACTTGGAGCCCTTTCTACTGTCATACGGGAAGTGCCAAAACCACACCTGCATCCTAAAGGACCATTTTCCAAGAGCTTCAAAAGCTCCATTACTTGAAACTTTAGGGGCTGGAGAGACAGCTCAGTCGTTAAGAGCATTGGCTGCTCTTCCAGAGGACCGGGGCTCGATTCCCGGGCAACTCACAACTGTCTGTAATTCTAGGGGATCTGACACCCTCACACAGGCATACATGAGGGCAAAACACCAAAGCATTACAAATAAATTATTTTTAAAAAGAAGAAAAAAATCGTACTTTAATCGTGAAAGCAACACGGCAAAGAGTGGCGAGGAAAAAAAGCCACAACCTCTTAAGATCCAACCTTTCCCTCTCGCCATTTGCAAAAATGCTTAGTGCTCAAGCATATCTGGTGAAACAGAAAAAGTGGGTGCAGGTGCATTAGGTTAGGAGAAACTTCGAGGCTCCTCCAGGCGAGAGGAGGGCGCGCAAGCGCAGTCCAGAAAGCAAGTGCAAAAAGAGTCTATAGTAGGAGAAAATGGCAGGCAGGCGGTGGGGGGGGGGGGGGAGGCGAGGGGCGCACGCAGGTGCAAGAGGGCTAGGCTTGGGAGGGGGAGGGGATGACATGCCCTGTCTTCCCCAGAGGGGACGCAGAAAGGCGCCACAGCCTACGCTGCCCAGCTGCCATCTTTACTTGCAAAAGCACAAAGGGCAGAAAAACTGCATCTCGACATAACCACCGTCTACTCTCTCCCACCAGCCTTTCCCCGTTGCCATTAGAAGCCACCCACCCAGATCCTTGTCCTCAAAGCGGGCTTACCTGGGTAAGGCGCCATCCCCACCCCGGTACCAGTCTGGGACGCCAGCTTAGAGCCGGAGGCTGCAGAACTGAAGCAGGCCCGAGGAACCGTCGGCTGCACGAGGCCGGACTTACCGTAGTCGGTGAACGGCAGTCGAAAAAAAAAAAAAAAAAAAAAAAAAAAAAAAAAAAAATAGGGCTCGGGCCTGGGCACCTGCGGGCTGCCCTGGGGCAGCCACGCCGAGGGACGGTCGTGCGGTCCCCCGGGGACCCCCAGGCCAGACTGGAAGGTGCTGGGACCCGGGCGGCCGCCTGGGACTCGCTGGAAGGCGCTCAGACCCGGGCTGCGGACCGGCGGAGGCCTCTCAAGGAAGCATGTGACCACGGGGCCTGGCCGGGAGCCTCCCGGAGCCACCCTGGGCAATGGGCAAATGCTTGAGCTCGAGGAGGCGGCCGCCGCCGCTGCCACCGGAGCCCCGGGAGGCAGCTGGGGCCCCTGGGTGCCCGTGGTCACCTCCTGCTCCTCGGCAGATTGGGTCTTGAGCACCTTGTGGGCAGCCATGATCTTCTGGCGCTCAGTGATCAGGTAGCACTTATCACAGATGCACTGCTTCCAGCGACACTTGCCCGCGTGGCCCTTGACTGGCACCAGATAGCCATGGTTCCGGCACCGTGAACACTTGGGGGTGCGAAACATCTTGTCGTCCAGCCTGGCGAGCTCAGCTTCCAAACACGGCCACCACCTCCGAAAGCTGCAGAGCGAGTGAAGCGGCAATGAGCGGTGCCCCACAAGTCCCTGGTGCTGGGGACATTGGATACACTTGTAACAAAACAGCTCGCAGAGTGTCCCCGGAACTGCAATAGGGCTCTTGCATTTTCCCCTCTTTTGGAGGGGTGCAAAAGTCCAATATTTCTGTGCATTTATGTATTTATTGGGTAGTGGGGTACTGAATAAATTAAAAATGGAATACTTATTGCATGTATGTCGTGTGCGTTATTTGAAGTCTTTGGCGCTTGAATTTTCAAACTTTCTGTTCCCGCCAAATTGTAACTGGACAGTAGTTTGAACTTTTTTTTTTTTTTTGAAAAAAGGCGGACTACTCAACGGTCCAGCCTTTTAAAACTCGCGAGAAACAGAGCTGTTATAGTGAACCCATTCCACATGAAATTCCAGGGGACGCTAGGTTTCTCTCCCTGAAGCGTCTGCTTTGGTTCTCGTCTCCTCTGCAGAAAAAGGAGCAGTCATGCTTCCAGAATATTCTTAGGAACTTAGTGCAGTGTGGTGGTTGCTTGCAGGCATGCCCTTACAGAAATTCTGAGGTTTTGAGTACTGTTCATGTGAGGAACCCGTATCTGAAATGTGTGCCAAATAATGGTCTAGAATAGTGGGGCATGGTGACGCAGCCTCACGACTTTAATCCCAGCACCCGGGAGGCAGAGGCAGGCAGATCTCTTTGAGTTCCAGGATAGCCACGGCTGTTACACAGAGAAATCCTGTCTTTGAAAAAACAAACAAAAAAAACCCAAAAAACTAAAAATAAAAAAGCCAAAAAGGTCTAAAGTAAAATAAACAAGATATTCTGGCTCTAGTTTGAATTTAGTGTGTGCCTGTGTGCACGTACGTGTTTCCTGTTTCACATGGTACATACTTCTTTCAGAAAAAGGGGCAATATAAATAAACATCTTCAAGAACCTTCCTGAGACATCTGCTGATCCAGGGTGGTGCACACAGCAAGCTGTGAACAGACCTAGCGAGGGGTGACTGGTACCTCCCAGATGGCATCTACACCTAGAAACGACAGATATTATGAGGAGCCACAGATTGACAGTTTGCTGGGCTTGTGACAAAGAATGGACTCCAGTCCATTCAGTCTCAGCAAAGGGAAGTGCCAAACTTTTCAGAATAATCCCATTCAAAAGACAAAAACAACAGTGTGCGCGTGCGCGCACGTATATGCATGCACGCGCGCGCATGCACACACAATATCTCCATTTTAAAATCTCTAATAACCCAAACCCACACACGCTGTCTTTTAAAAAACAAAACAAACAAAAAAAGAACTTAGGTTTTGTTTGTTTGTTTGTTTGAGACAGCGTCTCACTATATAGCTCTGGCTGTCCAGAAACTCACTATGTAGACCAGGTTGGTCTTGAACTCACATAGATCTGAAGACTCCGCCTACGGAACGCTGGGATTAAAGGCACCTGCTGTTACATCCTGTCTTTGGCTTTATTTATTTATTTATTTATTTTTCAAAAGAAATATCTGTGATGTCTTTCAAAAGGTTTTCAAAAACTTAAAGACAGGCAGTGCTTTAAATGGTAATCAGGCCAACTCAGAGCGTCAGAAGCAGACTCACTGTGTTGACAAAAATCAAAGATAAATGACCACAGTGCAGATTCCCTAGAGCTTCCCCAAAGCCTTAAATCTTTTGAGCCAGACTTTTTACGCCGTGTGCGAAGCATTGACTGACTATAGGAAGTGTCCCGGATGCGGTCCCGCAGTGGCCATCCTGACTCCGGCTGCTGTGGTCTGGAACCTCTGCAGAAATCCCTCTGCCCACTTGCCCTCTGGAGAACGCACTGCTGTGACCCTATGAACAAAAGCTCAGGCTCCTGGCAGAGGTCCCTCGGCCGTGGGATCAGTGATCAGACAACTTGCCAGCGAGGGCGACTTCAATTTACTGCCGGTCTGCACACTTGCAGACCCTCCCCCTCCCCCCATTACAGCGAGCTTGGCTTCGCCCACGTTCTGGAAGGTGCAAATATCAAAGCTGCAAGATCACTGTCTTTTACAACCACCACTTCAAAGACCTGTCCGCTTTGAGACTATCTACCCCAGAGACCGCCCACTAGTGTAGAAACTCAGCGCGCCTCAGAAAAGGATGACTTTATCCAATGTGGTGGCCACGGCTGAGCCAGAGAATCTGACTAGTCCCTGACCCAGGTAGAGAAAGACCTGGCATAAAGTGGCCAGAGCCTCCCGATGTGAAGTCTGGGCTATTTTTACTTTGGATTTGTTCATTTGTTTGTTGTTGTTGTTGTTGTTGTTGTTTCCAAGACAGGATTTCTCTGTGTAGTCCGGATTCTCCTGGAACTCGCTCGGTAAACCAGACTGGCCTCAAACTCATAGAGATCCGCCTGCTCTGCATCCGCAGTGCTGGGATTTAAGGCATCCGCCACCCCCGCCCGGCGAGTCTGGACTGTTTTAACGCTCATGAATTCAGCTATCTCTGTAAAGCAATTCAAATCCTGGAAAGGCTGGCACAAACACGGGAAATGGGAGCAGGGCTCCTGCACGCTAGGCAAAATTTCCAGCTATAGTCCCGCCTTTTCCTTTCTCTTCCTTCTTTCGCTGACTTTCCTCCCTCCTTCCTTCTTTCCTTGCGTAGACTCTAGAGAAATCACTCAGGCTGCCCTGGAGTTGGCGCAGTAGCCCAGCTAGGCCCTGAACTCCGATCCTGCTGACTTAAGCTGCCCTGTAGTTTTGATTACAGCCAGGTCCAGCTACAAACATCAATCAGAGACGTTAAACTATTCATAATTTGTTTTGGTTAAAAAAAAGTCTTCAGCACTCTTGCGGGGTGTCATCTGGGAAGCTTTTGGTAGGATCAGCTCTATTTAAGGAGATATCTGTGCTTGCTAGTTAGCTAACTTCTGTGTAATTTTCATTCCCCTGTTCTGAAATCTTTCTGGTGATGCCCAGGCAGAGTCGGCCTAGATTTTCCTCAGCCTCAGATTGCAACACTATGTAGCATTTCTCCCCCTGCCTGCGGGTAAGAAGTTGTTGCCGTTCTGTGCTCCTTGGAGCTGAATGGGGGTTCAGAAAATCTTTGCTCATATGATAAAAAAAAAATTATTCTTCATCTTTGTAAGTCTGCAAGAGCATGTTCTTTGGGTCCCGGAATTTAGCCAGGAATTTAGCTGGTAGTCAGCATCATTTAACGAGTGTAGGTTTTAGCCAGGAGAAGGCGGCACACGCCTTTAATCCCAGCAGGTGGGAGGCAGAGGCAGGCCGGTCTCTTAGTTTGAAGCCAATCTGGTCTGCAGAATGAGTTCCAATCTGGTCTGCAGAATGTATAGCCAGAGCTACACAGAGAAATCCTGCCTCAAAAAGTCAAGGAAAAAAAAAAGGAGGAGTCATGGTCTAAATGTCTAGGTTTGTCTACCCAGCCCTAACACTGTATTCATCTCAGATTTTAAACGTATCCCTTAGATAAAGGGCAGCAACTCTTTCTTTTACCCAATTTCAAACTGTCTAATTTTTTTACTGACCTTGTTATTGAAAATGAAACCTAAAAAAACCATTGCTTCAGGGACTCTGGTGTCAAGAACAGGGCAGGGCACTCCGAGGCTGGATGCCTGTGACTATGCATCCTTCACAGTGTGGGGGCACTAGTCCTGGGGGGCTCATCCTCACATACCAGACCAAAAAAAAAAAAAGAAAGGAAAAGAAAAAGCTTAGGGGAACACTCATGCTAGTAGCAGGAGTGATCCGTTGACTTCTTGTCCCTAGGTTCAGTTGCTGGGGTGATTCAGATGCCTCCCACACCAGCTGGACTATAGCAAGTTACAGCCTTCAGAGCTCTGTGTGATACTAGGCCAGAGAGTCAGGTGGATTGTACTTTGAGGGAGGTGACGTTATCTGTCTTACTCATTCAAGTGATGGCAGCTGATGGAGGGGAGCCGCAAAGGCAGGCCTCAGCTAATTTCAAGCGGCTGAGCAGGCAGAATCCATTGACTACCAGCTGCAGGGGCTGCAGGAGGCAGTTTGAACTAGATGAGTGTTTGTTTGGACAACCCAGTGGGTGTGAATGGCGTGGACAAAGCTGGAAGCACAGCTTTGCACTGGACTTGTGGCGGACAGCACAAAGACACAGTGGAAGCACTGTTTACAGAGCCCAACAGAACCAAACAAACAGAATGAGTGGGGAGACCCGGCTTTTCATGCCGATGCCCAGAGCGCTTGTCTAGGCATTGCTGCTCCTGGAAAAAGGTGAGAGCAGACTTGAGAAATAACAGGAAGAAGATGATCCATACCATGGCCACTAATGCTGAATGTGTATGGCTCCTGGAAAGGGGCAGGGAAACAGGTTTGATTCGAATACTAGGCAATGCCTAGGGCTACTTTTTAAAATGTTTTTATTTATGTGTATGTGTACGTCTTTGTGTGTGCATGTATTTGTGTTTGTGTGTAAATGTGTGCATGTGCGTGGAAGCCAGAGTAGGCATTGGGTAGCTTCCTCGATCCCTGACCACCTTATTTTTTGAGGCAGGGGCTCGTGCTGAACCTGGAGCTCACTAATTCAGCCAGATTCTCTGGTCAACAAGCTCTGGGGATCTTCCCATCTTTGTCTCTTGAGACCCGGGATCAAGGCATGTGCCCTTGGCTTTTTACATGGTGCTGAACATCCAAACTCAGGGTTCAAGCTTGCACGGCAAGCACTTTATTGACCGAATCACCTCCCCATCCCACCCCAGCAAGATTATCCTGATGGAGAAGATTTGGACCATTCCTTTTTGGAGTTGCTTTGGGACCTAACTTCTTTTGCTTTAGCTATTCCAAAACCTTGTTCCCCTGATGTGGGATGTCCTTCTGTATATGTGTGCTTTATTGGCTGGTGAATAAACCTGTTTCAGCCGGTAGCTTTACAGAACAACGCCAGGCGGGAAGTTGAACAGAGATATAGAGAAAAAGTAGGCGGAGTCTAGGAGATGCCATGTAGCTACCAAAGGAGAAAGATGCCCGAGGGAACCTTACCTTACCAGTACGCCA